TAACTGGATATGAAGCAAATCCTCCGAGTAAACCATGGCAAACCTGGCAGCATCATTTACCTGTTCAGCATCTTTTCTACAGAAGGCAAATTCCATAACTTGTGGTCACCACTATTTTTTTTCCTGCCCTGCACATAAGAATTCATAGGGAGGAAGTGATAAACCCATGATAAAAAAAATTCCAGTGAACTGTCAGCATTATCCTAACCAAAAAAGAATTTCCTCCTTAGTCATCCACAGGCAGGGTAAGCCAGCTCCCCCATGAACTACAGAAGAGCAGGAGAAAAGTGCTTATCTGGGAAATTACTTCTCTTTCTAGTACATTGGTACTTAATTTTTAAGCAAGGCAAAGGTCAAACAAAAACCACCTGATGGTGATACAAATGGAGCCTTGGATAAAACGGCCCAGGGGCCACCACAAAGAGCTGCTCTTTGCAAAAAGCTTAATGAAAGCCAAGAGATAGTGCCAGTGGGGAGGATGATGGCAATTCCACATCCACGTGCCTCAAGAATGCTGCCAGTGGCAGGAGGGCACATCCAAGCTGTGGAGGGGGCCAAGCCAGGGCAGTGTGGGGTCTCCAGCATCACTCAGCTCCCCAGGGAATGCCTGCAGCCAGGCAAACTGGGCTTGCTGAGCCTGGGCTGAAGATACACTTCTAATCGGGATAGTAAGAGGCATCAGGGCTGGAATGCAGCTGTGCCTCATCCCCCAAGCTGTCTACAATAATTGTTATAAATATAGGTACTTTGTTGTGTTGCACACACTCAGGCCCTGTTTCTGCTGCTGGAGCCCCAGGTCTCTAATCTGACCTCCTGATTTTGACACTGCAGAGACAAAGGAGGAGGCAGCACAATGATGGTACCCTGCAAAACTAGAGCAGCAAAATCACAGGATACTCAAAACAGTGCCAGGGAAAAACCAGGAGGCTGGGTTTGATTCTAGGTCAGGAAATGCCCTGAGAATAAAATATTGCCCAAAATGGCACTTTGTTTTTCTGAACTGGGCTCCACACTGCAGGACAAGAAGATTAGGTAGATGCCCTCCCATGGTGGCAGACTGGCCCCATAGCAGCCGTTCCTGCTCAGCAATTTTTGTCTGCTGCCCTATGTAAGCAACCAAACCAGCTTGGAGATGATTAAAGCTTCATCAGAAACTCTTCAGATCATGTCCCGTTCACAGTGGGAACAGTGCAAATCCTGCCACCTTTACCAAGAGCCCCTCCAAGGGCCTCTCACAGCCCTGGGATGCCAGCCAGCTTTGGAGGCTTTACATTTTCGTGGCATGAGACAAATTTCGCTAAGAGTTCCTCAGTGCTAATCCTCATAACGCTGCCCAGCAGCTGGGAGCACCAGAAAACAGCCTGATGGCACCTCCAGCTCTGCACAGAACCCCTCAAAGCAACACAAAGGATTCAGAAGCCAAGCACACACCTCTTGCTTTCTTGCTGGCATTAACAATATGTCTCATGATAGGTCACTGCTTCTTTGCAACCTGAAGAGCACAGAAAGTCAGCAGATAGCTCAGTATTTACTGTGCACAATAAGTCAGGAAAAGCATGGAAAAGCAAAGATCATACATAAAGAAAAGCAAAAATCACACATAAAGAAAGATTTTATTCTGAAAGTAATGACTGCGATGCTTTGGTTAATACAAAATTCCAAGCAAGGTCTTAAAGCAATCAATAGAGGATCATTAAAGACACACTAGGAGGATTATTTCAGATATTTAAAAATATATGAATATTTATTTACTGATATAAATAAACAGCAATATGGCCTAATGTATTCCCAGTTACATGCCCTGCAGTAAGGGCACAAAGTTTGGGCACAAATGGCATTCATTAATAAGTGCCCCAAAGGAGGGACAGCCCTTAAAGGAGAGAAAATGCACACTTCAAAAGTGGTTGATGTTTTTAGCATAAACTAAGGACTGACATGCATGTTTAATTTGCTTTGTTCATGTTGACTTTCACTGCTGCACGATGAGCAAAAGTCAGCCTGTGCAGGATGAGTGAGCACAGGTGAATCAACATCCTTCACCCTGGGCATGCTCTCCTCCAAACTCCCCATGCAAGACAGGGGAAGAAAGATCAAAGCAAAATTTCAGCATCGCCAGCTTCAGCACTTTCCTCAAGCAAAAGATGTGAATTCAAAGATTCAGCTGTAAATATTTTAAAAGTGGCAAATGGACTTTTGGCAGCCAAAATAAGAATCTTTAAAAGCACTAGCATTTGCTGCCCCCAATCCTCACAAATCCAGCCTGCTGAAGTGGTAAGCGAGGTTGCCCACAAGCTGAAACTAGCTTCAGCCCCAATTCCAAAAAACCTGGAAGTAATTTTAGAAGCAGGAAACCATCAAGCAAGAGACAGCACCTGTAGATTAAAACCTCTTCCTCTGTCAGGCTTCGACACATTTGACTCACAAAACCATGAAGAAAGTAAGCCTCCCTTTAAAAAGCCTCATTGTCAAAATTTTTTATAGCTTTGAGGTTATATTTTATCCTTAAACCAATAAATACTTGCAATTCCTTAATTTGCTGCCAGCTGGGGAGAGATTTAAAAACTTCTGCAAACCTGCAATTTCAGTGCTGGTCTGTGCTGGGCACTGAAAAATTCCATAGGAGTGAGAGTGAGAGGGGTTAGTCATGACAAGAACATCCCTGCAATGTGCCAGGGCTGCTTTTCACTGTCATCCAACCATCCTTAATACTGATTCAGACCATCAATGATTTTTATAATCAGTTATGTGCTTTTGAAATACACACCCACACACATAACCCCCACAGGCAGCCAAACAGAAGCTTTCTGTATTTTTTTATATTATTAATAATATGCATCTGTATACAGACCAACCCCCTAAAGGACATTTTGATCCAAGGATCTGCAACCTGACTCAAAGCAAATCTTTGCTACTTTACCAGCAAAAATCTTGACTGCTAATGGGGTTAATCTTTTAATTAGCACCTAGGGATGCAGCCAGCAGCCCCCCTGCCTGGATGTTCATGCTGACCAACAGCAAAGCCCTTAAACTACTTACCCTCTGAATCTGCCCCACATCTATGCAGGGTGAGACCTGCTCTGAAGAAAACCTGAGATGATTTTTCCTCCCTGTAAAGGACAGCTGCACATTTACAACTGAAGCATCATTCCTGGCCAAGCTCCAATTCTTGGGCCACTCCCAGGTGGTCCAGAAGTGCCAGGTACCTGCCAGACTGTGTGTGACATGGGAGTCACACTGCAAGGGGCCGTGCAGAACACAAAATTCAGGGTCCATCTACGATGGCTTTTCTCCTTGCTCACTGTCAGTGCTGACCCTACAATGCAGAGGTCGAGCACCCTGGGGCTGCTCTGGGTTATCCAGGTTACAGGCAGGTTTTGTTCAGTGTCCAGAAGCACCAAAGGGCCTGGCAGCACCAGAGCAGAGCAACTGATGCCCCATTCGTTCCCAGTGACTTATAAAAGATGAAGCTCATTCCACTGCTGCTGACAAAGGACCTTTTCACATCTTATAGCAACAAGGGGAGATCTGGTTTGCAGTGTCTGTCAAACAGCTTACCACAAAAAAAAGGATTTTTAGTATCAGTGGTGTTTGCTTTAATTGTAGATAAAAAGAACAACTGCAAGTGATCTGTCTTTCTTAGGTGCTTTAGAAGGTGTTAGGAGCTAGTTAATAAAACACTAGAGATTTCAGTGATGGGATAACTGTTAATACAGGTTAAGGAAGGAAAACTATCTGCAAATGAAGAGTTGGTTCCAGGGGATGTCTCTGCAGCAGAGCACAAAGTCCATATAAGCACACAGAAGGGTCTGGCCCTGCTGGGCTGAGCTCTGGGCAGTGCTGCTGGAGAAGGCTCTGCCTTGGCACATGACTACACTGCAGGGGCTTGAGCATGGACCATCCCCACCAGCCTGGCAGGATGCTGCTTCCACCTCCAACTCCAAATCCCCACTGTTAGCTCCAGCCTCTCTTACAAGCACAGCAAGCACTTGACTTTGCTCATTGATAAAGCAAAGAACATCTTTATCCCCAATCTCTGTCCACCATCTCCATCTGGCCTACGAGTCACAGCCAAACTGAAGAGTGAGGCAACTGATTATGTTTCCCACTGAACATGCTCTATCCACTCTACCCCTCTCATTTCCTTCCTTTGATGCAAAATTGTGCTTACAATGCAAGAAGATGAAACTTTTTATGCCTCACAAATGCTGAGGGGAATGCAGATAAATGTACATCAAAGCATTTTCAGCCCTTTTCCTTCAGCACCTCCTCTTTGTATGGTGAAAATAAAACTTAGAGACAAAGGGCTAATTTTTTGTCTACCCTGTAGAAGGAGAGATCTGATCAACACACCAGCACACCTGAGCATTTGACCAAACCAGCACAACTGCCAAAAAGAATTGATTTTCACAGCAAATTGATACCCACAGACACCAAAACCAGTAACTCCCTGCTAGAAAGAATGGAAAAAAATTTGTCACCTCCATAAAAACATCTAATTCATTGTAAATTACTCTAGTGATGCAAATTTAGTTGTTATCACTAGTGCTATTGAGTTATACATATCTATATGGAATAGGAGTAGTTTAATTTTAGAGCTAAAGGCATCTCCTTTTTTATGGGATAAGTCATCCTCAAAATTACGTTCTTCAGCAGAAATTCTGTTGAACTAAGAAGAGAAAAACCACTTGTGTCATCTTTTTTGAAATGAGATGATGAAGCCTGATAAGCTGATCTACACATGGCTAATGGAAGCTGTGGGTTACAAACACAGCTGCCCAAGAGTCCTGGAGAATCCAGGTGGAGGAACAAAGAGCAACAGATCCATCCTTTCCCTCATGTATGAGGCTATGGTTGGTCATCAGAACCTTCAGAAGCTGACACTGCTGTTCACAAGAACCTACACCTCAAATGGGCAAAGAAAAGTCATCCTTAGAGTATGGCACCAGGGCCTTTGGTAGGTAAAGCAAACTGGGCAGTCAATGAAAAAAACATTTACATACCTGGACAGGAGTGTTGTTGCTGCACTGGAAAAGCTCTGGGAGAACAGAAAACATCTTCCAGCTGGGTAAAGCAGTGGCTCCATTTCAAGAAGATCATGGGGAGGTATTCCAGTAAGTGACTGTATGCTGTAATCCTCAGGACTGGGCCACAAATGACACAGGGTGACCCAGGGAAAAAAAGGGTAAAAAGATGGTAGAAACTTCCAGATGCTTTTATCCACAGCCAGCATTCTCCAGAGGGTTTTGTGGGTCCACAGGTCCATGCATCCCATGCTCCCCATGCTCCTAAAAATCCTCTGGAGCTATGAAAAGGACCAGACTGCCAGACTCCAAACGTTATTCCAGACAAGTGGGACACATGGGGTTGGGACCTTCAGAGAGAAGAAAGGGACAGGCCATTACACAACAGCTCTTACCACGCTGGACAAAAAATTGGATTGCAAACTTTAACATTTTGATTTATTTTTGCACAGAAGGAAGGTTTTAGACTTTTTTTTTTTTCATTTGCATGATTTATTTAAATTAATGTAACAGTGAGCATAGACACAGCATGGAGCACCACCTCCAGATGCCTCACAGGCTCTAGGGGATGTGCAAGGAGGAGGAGGAGAAGCCAGAAACTGAAAGTAGTTCTCACCTAACCAACAGATCTTTCCAAAACTACTCTTTTTCTTTTTGTCAGGTGAAAGAACAGAGTTTTCCTCCCCTCTCCTTTTTGCCACACCTCCTAAACCTAATGAGGTATTTTCACTACCAGGGAAGAGGAGGATGGAAAGGGCTGTGAGGCAGCAGGCCAGCAGCACCATCTGCCTTCCTGACCTCAGTGGAAAATGTCTCTCCACCACCAGGAGAATCACACCTCCAGCAACCCACAGCAAAGTCTGGCACAACCCACCAGTGACATAGCAGAAACACTCTGCCCCTCAGTACAAGAACCCAATGTGACCTCCGACCAGACAGAGCCACACTTCCCACCTCTGCTTTCAGAGAAAATAAACACATCCCAGCAAAGTGGCTCAAAATACCCAAAGAATTAGTCATAAAGATTCTAGTATTTGACGTATATAAACCCATCATGATCTGGGGGGTTTTGATTGTTTGTTTTTTCAATTCTTTTAATCTGATCTTACTAATTGTGCTGGGAGTAGAGTTGCTGGGATTTTTGTTTGTTATTTTAAAATATGAAAGCTGTCACATAAACACAGGCAAGTGCCAGGCCCGGATATAATGCCCAGCAAGTGCTGAAAGGAAACTCAAATAACTCTTTGCCTGACATTGCTTTCTAGTTCATCTGTAAAAGGAAAACAGCAGAGAGCAGCTGAGAGCCAAAAAAGGTTTTTTCACTTTGTTTTAGCTGCAGAAGCACAGGAAGGTGATAACATTGTGTGTAATGTAACCAAGCAAAGGAGTAATGAAAGTGCAAGCAAATAGATCAAATAGGACAGGGCTAAGGAAAAGGTGTGATAATCATTTGTTTTGCTAATTGTGTCAATAAAGTCCTATCTACCCTCAAACAGCGGAAACGTCATCAGATATTTAAAAGGGAAAAATCAAGTGAATAATTAAATGTACAAAACCCTGACATTTTTTCCCCCAGATGTTCTCTTTAAAGGGTTGATTAGGAGAATCACATGTTTATTTGAAATAAAATTCTACTGACTTTGATCATGTTTAAGTCACCTCACGTACAAAATCTACTTTGAACCAAAACTACTTCTTCCCTAGGGAAAATAATCAAAACTGCTTTCTTTGTAGGAAAGATGCACCATTGCCTTAGCACAACCCAGGCTAAGCTGGGTCGTGGGGACAACACCCTAACGCACAAAAATTTGGTGCGCCTACAACGTGTTTTTGTTGCTACAGACCCAGCAGGCAAATCGGTACAAGCCAACTGGAAGTCTGCAGCCGTGATGTCTGCTAATTCATGGAAAAAGAAATCTGAAATGCCTTGTCCTTGCTTCTACAGTTTTCCCAGTGATGGGGAGGGTTAGGAAATGAAATATTCCCTAACCTCCCCCCCACTTAAATGAACTGAAGCTGAAGAAGGTCTGACCTAAGTCCCTGAGCTGATAAAAACATTTTGGAAAAGGATTTGAATCTCCCAAAATAACTCCAATCCCACTAATTACATAGCCAATCTCAGCCACTCTTGATAACTTTATGACATGGAAAATGCCTGTAAAACCTATTTCTCTACAGCAAGAACACCTGCGCAAAATCCTCGAGCTAACTCGTTTCTCCACAATCCAATTACCTGTAAAATAGGAGCATGCAAACTGAGATGAATCTCTGTTTCCAGAGAAATGAGGCTTGTCCCACCAGCCCAGCCCCTCGCTCTGCTGTGCCTGATGCACCAGCAGGGCTTTTTCTCCAGGCTCCAACGTGGATGTGTCAATATGTACTTTGCTCAGCTCTCCTGGGAGACGAGCCCAGCAGTCCTCACTGTCCAGCAAGTGAAAACGTAATTTTTTTTGTTCTCTATCTTTTATATCTCCCCCCATCTCGCATACACCACACCTCTCACAGCACTCCCATCATTGGCCTTCAAGGCCAGCTGGATGGCAGCAGGACTCACGGGCTATGCAAGAGCTCAGTGACTAGCATCTTGCACAAGTTAGGTTTCTACATAAACATATGGGCTTTTCTAGTCAGATTGTAACAGATAAACCAATGGCAGATGATTAATGTTCATTTTAAGCATCTTCCTTTGTGGTATGGAGGAACCTCAGTACCTTCCACCCCCAATGTAAGGAGAAGGCACTGTGTCATTGCTACCCTGTTTGAGAGGCAGATGAAATTCAAACCCTCGTGCCCACCACATGCCTGAAAAGACAACTTTCCAGTTCTCTGGACTCTGCCCTTAAAATGTGCCAGATTTTTAAGACTGAGCACACTGCCTGCTGGAAAGAACATCACTCCAGCTCACTCCACTGCTGCCTCCCCCTCAGACTGGAGGGTCTTTGGTGCTGACTGTCCATGAGTGTTCTCCAACCCCAACAGCAGAGGTCTTGCACTTAACAACTCACTGAAGGTCATGCAGTAGAGTAGGTTGGCAGCAAAGCCCTGAAACACATCCAGATTTTTCAAGTCATGGGCCAGCACTTGAAAAACACATTCATCTTCCCCATCCCTTGACAAGAACTACTCCATTAGTTGTACACAACAAGGGTTGAATCACTCACACACAGAAACACCACGGGCTGAGCACGTGTCAGCTCTGAGCAAACAAGGCATCACCCTCAACACGAGAGCAGCACCCTGAGCCACGGCTCCTCTCCAGGGGCAGCAGGAACCTGTCAACACCAGCTGTAGGAAACCAGCAATGAACAAAGTCTGCACTGCAATAGAGAGACCCCCAAATGATTAATAAACACACAAAAACAGTGAAAATACTTGTTCCTCATTAGTTGAAAAACACGTGAGGAAGAGAGAAGGAGTCCCACCTGTTAAATTTTGAATGTTAAAGAGTCCCAAGTGCAATTGCTCATTTTAAAAAACAAAGGATGTTTTCTGTGCCTGTGTTTTATTTGAAGGAAAAGGCTGGGTTTTTTTACACTCTAACATGTTCATTACAACCCAGCCATGTGAGTTAAATGCAGTAAGGGACCTGTTAAACCTCAGGATCACTGCAGTAAGCTCCAGTAGTGACTTTATTGTGGGCAAGAATGCAATTGGGGCATTTGTGTCTGCTGCTCCTGCCACCAGGCACTGTGAGCAGTATGTGCTCAGTTTGCCAACACCAAAATCCCCACTGAAACACAAGGTGAGCATCCCAAAATGGCTTTGTTACATCTCCATGCAGAAAAACTTCTCCAGACACTGAGACTGCTTATCAACGTCAATGTTACCCAACAGAGAATAGAAAGGGAAAAAAAGAGAAAACTATTCAAGCTTTCTGGTTTTTTACAAATTCTCCAGCAAATGGCTGCAGGTGTATTTCCTGAAAGGCAGCAGTTTGCTGCCATGGGTATCTCAGCTACCACAAGGGATTGGATTTCTCCTGATTTAGTGAGCCAAAGCAGGCTCAGCACCACCACTGGCAGAAGGAAAAGGACAGGATCAAGCACAGACTGTCCCCTGCAATAACATCCAGCTGATGAATCAGCTCAAGCCACCTCCAAAACCTCTCCTTGGCTTCCTGTTCTTAGGCATGAAATTTTAGAACAGCTATAGACTGAATCTGACATAGAAGTGAGAGTGGCAAAATCACGGAGTTCTGGGTAAATAGGACTTGTGTTTTGTATCAGTGAGGAATCATGAACTTGTTTGCTTTATGGAATTATGGCAGGACACCAGTTAACAATCTCTTATATCGTGACCATAATATTTAAGTCCTTACAGAAGATAAATAAACAAAACTAATTATTTCCCAAAGAAACACAAAGGAAAAAAATGCAAAGGCTGCTGTGCCTTTTTCTCCTCACTCAGCAACACCAAGTTTTTGGAGTAACCTGGCTCCTTTTGAGGGCTTCACAAGCTTCGCCAACATCTCAAGCAGTCCCTGGAGCTGGGGATTTGCCCCCAGATAAAGAAAAAGCAGCTATGGCTGCGAGATGATTCATGAGGGGAGGGCACTTCGCAGATGCTCCTCCAGTCTGTGAGCAGGCGAAGACACATGCACGTCCAAAGCCTGAGTATTTGAGGAAAACAAGAGGGAGGCAAGAACCACTCATCTGGCCTTACCCTACCACTTTTCATCCTAAAAATCAATTCCTTTCTGGGAACTCCAACGAAAAGGGGAGGGCTGAAAAAAGACAAGCACAGAAGGATTGCCCGGTAGACTGGGAATTCCAACCCACACTCTGCCCAAAGATGCATTGTTTGGTAAGGCATGAAGTGCAACATAAAAATTTTTCCAAGAACTCTTGTAACAGTTTCCCAATAAAGTGTACATTTTAAAGTGTAAGTCTAGTTATTCCAGTGAAGGTATCATCACACAAATTTGTGTCCCTCGCATCCACCCAGGACTCCTCAGCCACACTTGGGATGGGTCTGCCCACCAACCTGAACCAGTACCCAAGTGACCAACAGGCTGTATATTTACAGCTCGAGTTCTCACACAAAATGCAGGTCATGACTATGCTCTTTCGACTTCACTACATGACTCCACATGAGGATCACAAGCTGGGATGCTACAAATTGAAGTACTGCTGAGATGCTTTACAATTACCCCCCTTCTTTTAACCATTTTTGAAGACAAAAAGCAAAATCTTAAGTGAATGTCGCACAATCTGACATTTTAAGCACCTAATGTCACCTTGGACCATTTTCAAAGCAAAATTTCATAACCTTATTCTCCATTTGCACCAACTGACACAGATA